GTAGAGAGAAGGAGGTGAATTTGAGCAGTTGATTTTAAACCCTAGAGAGAGAAAGTGAACGTGTGATATTATGAATGTGTGATATTATCCGAGAGGGCTTTTTAAGATTTGAAAAATGTGAGGGCCTTTTGCGTGCTTATAAATGTATCTTCTTTTTTCCATTTTTTTTTTTTTACTGAAACCCGACAGGACCAGAATTAAATGAATTAGTTTGTGTTGCTACAACCATTGACTCCCTTTTCTCAGTTGATTTTTCTCTTAGTTAATATGGGTAAATGTATTCCAAGCTTCTGAAGATAGTCCCTTTGATCTAGATTGGACAAATCACATACTAAAAGAAACAAAGGAAAATCAAGTCTTCCACCTAGAATATTTGTCAAATCTAATATAGGTTTAATTAAGTTTAAGTATACAACGACATTATAAATTGTTTTTACATTGTCCTTCTTTCTATATACTCCAAGATAATGCATATCATGTTAATGTTTATGTCATGATAATAACACTTATGAGAGTATAACTGAAAAAGATCCAAATAGAATTAGCCGAAAACAGCTCAACATCGGTATACAATTAGCGGAACACTAGTATTACAATAACCACCGAGCTGAAACAGTTATTTGGAGAATTTATTAAATGTTCGACAAATTCTGTTAGATAAAAAGACTGGAGCAAAAACTCAACCCGCAAACAGCACATCCACCAGTGTGTCACCCTCTGAGCAATATGTATGCACCTCTGGGTTATTTGTTCGAGAGCATTAAGTCATGGAACTCTCCCAACAGCAATGGCATTAGAATTGAGCTACGCAGAGATTTCCTTCCGGATCATATTCTCGCAGTATTTACAATACCAACTGTCTGGAATATTCTTGGACGAGAAACACAATCTGTAAGAGGAACCAAGAATGAAAAGTAAGACAGTGGAAAAGAGGATTATGAGATACCCTTTTTTTTTTTCACCCTTAAGCCCAAGGAGACTGGAAGCCAGGTCTATGTCCTAGTAGGATGCTTTGGTACCCATATATTATCCATAATCAAATAAAAATAAGAAAATAGATTAATAAAAAAAACGCCGTTGTACTTACGCGTAAAAAATATGGCACCTAACTTAAGTGAAAAACAAAAATTCAAAGCACATTTAGATGCCAAGATTAACATAAGAAATAAGGTCAAAACAAAAAAAAAAATATCTTAATTTAATTATTGATTTCCAAACTAGTAAATAAATACTCCTAATTTAGAAGGAGCATGGCTGCAAATACAAAATCAATACATTAGGATGCAACGGCCTATTGAACTTTTTGCAAGGTTTAAGAAAGGATAGAGAACAAGTAATAATTCTATAAAAAGACAAGATATAATCATCACGGTGAAAAGATCGCAGACAATTGTCACAGCTTATAAGATCTCCGTAATCAACCTGAGAAAGCAGCCTCAGGATTAAAAGACTTCATCTTCTAACAAAATAAAAGAGTAATCTATTTTAGT